CCCTGTCTCTCCACTGAGTACACACGCTCTACAGCAAAAAGCTCTCGAAGGAAAAAAAACAAAAAGAATACTTGATAGGATGTTTGGCCTTGTCTCAATTCTGCCACCATGAGGCGAAGGAGTGTCTATGACCTGAAACATATTTATTCTGCTCTTAGAGCAATACTCTCAACTCTGCTTAAGAAAAAAAAAGGTCCACAGGGTGATACATTTCCATAATAAAATGAAGACTAATATTCTCTTAATTTGTTTCTAGAAGCTAGATTAGCAGAAAAAGATTTTCAACTAAATTTTTTGTTTTATCAACTCTTCTTAGTCCTGCTGCTTCTGCTTTGATAAAGATACTGACAAATCCCAAAATAAATAAATATTCTGGGGGCCAGCAGGTGGTGTGGTGGTTAAGGGCACTAGACTCTCCCACATGGCCCACCATAGCTCTAGTCCAAGACCTGGTGGCTTGCTTTCTCACTTTCTCTCTTCCCCTCCTCCCACTCTGTCCCTCTCTGACAAAGTAAAATAAATAAATAAAGTTAAAATAAAATAATTCTTTAAAAATAAATAAATAAGTAAATATTCTGGAAATGAGTATTACAAGGACACCTGCAAAGGCTATTGTGCCTAAGTCCAGCAGACTATTTTCCCCTCTCAAAAAACTGTACCTGCTGTGAATCTGTAACACATGCATAGAACCACCAAGATTTTTCCAGCAAAACTAACTCTCAAATTAAATATATTTTATTGTACTGTGGTCATAAAAGGGCATATAACATACCTCAAATAGCATAATTTTTCAGATATTTGCTACCAAAAAAGTTGAGAACACTAGTCTAGAACCTCGGCACACCGAGCAAAGACACATGGCCCCTTGGTGGCATTACATTCCAGTATCTTCATTATCTTCTGTACTTTAAGGTTCCAAAGCTAATTCTGCTGGTTATGCATCTTCCCCGTTCTAGGCTGGTTTTGAATTTTAAATGGTCAGCTGGTGGCATGGTGGTTAAGGCAGCTGGATCCCAATATGGCACCTGCACAGTCCCAGACCCAGTGACTTAGAAAATACACCAGGTACCTCTGCCTGCATGACCAAAATCCCAAAAGGAGAATGAAAGAGAAGGGACTGCAGCATGGTCAATCTCCCTGGTGAGTGCTTTCTCACTTTCCCTCTCTCTCTTTCTCACTTTCTATCTCAAGAGTGCATGTGCCCTCTAGTAAATTATAGAAAGAAAGAAAAAAAAAAGGCCACACAGGCAAAAGTAAAAATGATTCTAACATTACCAAGCAGCAAAGGAACTGAATGGTATCAGTTAATAGTGCAAACTATCATAAAATGGAGTTTTCCTAAAAAGATGTTATAACCTGATGATAGTAACCCCTCCCAACTGACATCTAAGCCTGTCCCTTCCACGAGCCACATCTACTTCCTTCCTGACTAATTCAAGTCCACGCTGATCTTCCCTTGTGTTACTCTGCATTTATACTGACACCTAATTACACACAGCCCTAGTCTCTTAAGTGTCTATTGCATGATCCAGCAGCAGGCTAGTCAACAAACACTTCCTGC